TGTAGGCTTTTTTTTCTTTTTTTGAAATAATATATTAGATACTTTGGAAATATCTTCAGAATGTTTGAGAAGGTGGTTTAAAATCTTGGCCAGTTCGCGAGATCCATGTGTACCCATTTTTAATCTTGTTGCAAAGATAAGCTCATCCAAAGTATTTTCTGACCGCAGAGCGTTGGTCCTCCTCTTCTTCTGACGGTAGCTTAATTCCAAAAAGGGTCTTCTTTTAAATTCAGTTGAATTTTGTTGCGGACGTATTGTTTCTCCAAATATTTCATTTTTTAGACCCATCGGCCAATTAAATATTGAATGTAACCAAGCATGTTCTCGGATTAGGAAGCGCTTTTTATTATAACAACACTTCTTCCATCTTCTGAATAAATTTACACAAAATTTCCGAAGACACTCCTTCAAAATCTTCTGTTTGTCTTCTGATAAAATTCTGTCCATTGTTGACGCAATGGTATCGTAAAGTTCGCCATACTTCCATAATTTTTTATTTTTGTTCACGATGTTGAACAGATCTTCATTAGTTTTTAAATCCATAATGACTTTTTTCGAAAACTGCTATTAAAAGTTTACTTTTAAAAATGACAGTTTAAATTTTTGATTTCTCAAAAGTTAGGTTATGTTTATAAATTTTAAAATCATAGCCTACTCCAATTTAAAATTTAAAAATGACAAGACAGAATGTAATACTAAGGCTGGGTTCACACGGCACGTTTTTTTTGCAGAATACATTTTTACTGAATAAAAATCAAATCTTATCTTAAACAGTATATAACGCAATTTTGCAGTATAAACGACGAGTGAACAAATCTATGCTGATTGCGTTACTATTATTCAGTAAAAAACTGTCTTGTAAAAAAAAGTGCGTGTGAACCCGGCTTAAGCCTATAATCTTTGACTAATCTTTTTGTGGTAGTAACTATTAACCTTGCACCTTAGAATAATTTTTTAAAAACTTGAAAAATATCAATTTTTATTAAGGAACAGCGGGACAAATAATATCGAAAATATCCTTTGGTCGGATGCGGTCGGATAAGATATCGATAGTTTCCCATAGTAGACACTATAGCTAATCTACCTACGCTAATAGTTCATCTTGCACTTTTGAGCATTTTTTTATAAACATCGAAATATATATATATATATTTTAGAAATTAGGGTACATTCAATGTTTTCAATATTTCTCAAGAACATACTTGTGAGTATAAGTAAGCATGTATTTAGAAATCTCAAAATATTACACTATTATTGGATATAAACCGATTTTCGTTAACTGGATTACAAACAGAAATATTTCTGTAAAAACTCTATCGTAATTACGTTGCTAATATTAAGTGATTTATAACAGTCTTAATCAAGTAACTTCAAAGCAGATTACAGGTTTTTTAAAGTTGTTTTAAGGCCATTTTATAATGAAAGGGACACTTTTCTATACATTAGCAGAAAAAATTAGCATATATTGAACCGAATTCCGGATTTTTGTCGAATGTCTACTTATTTACAGTATCGTGCCACTGTGCGCCGGTCGAATACTGGTGGCCCGCCGACAGCAAAAATAATATTCTCGTACATTCGAAACATAATAAATATTAAAGTACTTTGTTTCTTTTGATATTGTGAGCGACGTCCTTAAAACTGAGACGGGAGCTTATTGGTTAGCAAGCTATGTTTATAAAACCCATTCAAGATTCAGAAACAGCTACAGAAGTTAGTTATGAAATTTCTCGAATGATGGGGATTTCGTAAAAGAATGCATAGAAATTGCCGCTAAGAAAATGTGTCCAGAAGCAGCAAAAAAGTTTGAGAAAATTCAACTGAATCGTATAACTATCCAAAGACGAATTATGTCTTTGTCAGGTAATATTGCGGAACAATTAACTGAAAAAACTAAGATCATTGAATTTTTTTCATTAGCACTCGACGAATCCACTGATATTAGTTCCACAGCTCAACTTCTCATATTCATACGAGGTGTTACTCAAGATTTTGAAGTCTTAGAAGAGTTATTAGGAATGTGTTCATTGAAAGGTCAAACCAAAGGAGTTGATATACTCAATGTACTTTTGGATGAGTGTTCAAAAACTGATTTGGACTTATCAAAATTATCGGGAGTTGCGACTGACGGTGCTCCTTCGATGATTGGTGTCAATTCCGGGCTAGTTACTTTGCTGAAAAAGCATCTGCAAGAAAAAAACATAAACGCTGAAGATCTCATGCAGTTTCACTGCATTATACACCAAGAAGCCCTCTGTTCTAAAAAAATTGAATTTCAAAATGTCATGAAAGTGGTAGTTTCGACTGTAAATTTCATAAAATCACGAGGACTCAATCACAGGCAATTCAAACAATTCCTTGATGACATCGAAAGCGAATATGGAGATTTACTGTATTATACAGAAGTAAGGTGGCTAAGTCGTGGATTGACACTGGAACGATTTCTAAATTTAATAGAAGAAATTGGAATATTTCTGGCGGAAAAGCAAAAGG